CAGTTTGTTTTATAACCTGACACTACTATAAGGACGAAAAAGCTGCCCATTAAGCTAACAGAAAGCTATCTTTCAATGAATAACATAACGATATTTGAAAAAAGAAAATCAAATTGTGATTACTTTAAAATGTCTGTCAACTTGAGCAAAACTTGTTTTATGTTTCATTGGTCCTCTAATAAGAGAGATACCTAAAACAAGGATAAATGTCCTTAGTGGTCAAGTTAAAGGGTCATTTCTTTCAAATTTTCACCCGCAAGTTGTACTGAAATTGTGTGCATTTTAAATACTAATCAGATTTCTTTTGGAAATTCATTAGCGTAAAAGTGAAAAAATTTATGTGAGTAAACAAAGGAATGATGAATCCTAAAACTAAATTCATCTTATAATTTTATCCAGTAAAAATAACTTAACCGCTAGACAATTCACAATTTTGTGTCAAAGATGCAGAAATCACCCTCCCCTCATCAACACATACAGGCATTACGTGGGTGTCACTCCTCAGTGTCTCCACATCTTGGTATTACATTGCTATGGATATACCTTTACATGAACATCCATAATGCAAGGCAATGTTTCCTGGCGCCCCCTTTATACACAGTTTTCTAACCTCTACCAGGAAGTCACGAAATGATCACCTCATTAACAGTCGAGTAAATTCACATATCTCATGAACAAATGAGAATTTCTTATTAGTTTCAATTTGATACTCGCCGACCAGTTCAATTTACAGATTGACATTCGTTAATCGTGGTCACTCTGTAAATCTCATTTTCAGACTGAAGTTTACTCCGTAAGGGACATAATCCGAAGACTTTTCATTCTGAAAACATTTTGCCTGACTGAGATACGTAGATCCGAGATCAGTTCAGAATTGTTGCTAGAAATTCTCAAGTTAATATTTTTTCGTGTCCCTCAAGTTCATCATTTTGCCCTCGGCCCAAATTAATATATCAGTCCAATTATAAACAAAATAGACTCCACCGAGTATCTTTTAAAGAGTCGCCAATATCTGTTACCAGTCTAAAATTTAAACAACTCTAACTGGTACCGGTATACTTTAAGGACCCCTCCCCCCTTTTTCATAAGTTTTTAAACTAAGCAGTGTTTTTTATTCATTGAATCAAACAGCATGGAATTAGAAAGCAATAAATAAATATCTTTAACTGGGATATAAATGAAAAATTGGAAATCGATACAGATTCAACAATTGAATGACACTTTGATAATGAAGAAATAAGAGAATATTCCGCCAGATACACGTCGGTTCCTTAAACTTAAATTTGCCAACAAAGTAAAAGAGGATGTGAACATTAGTAACATCTTTAATCAAAAAAAGTTCAGTCTTGTATTCCACCATATTTCAAGCTGAAATCTACACCCTGCATTTCCTACAGATATTCCCAAATGTTGCTTCCAACATTTCAATAATAACAAACCGGACAGTACCTAGATGTTGAACATTTAAAACAAAATCCTCTCAAGTGTTCTGGCTCTTTTTCTGGACACATCTTTACTGGTGATGTAAATATAGTTGAAAAAGAAGACCTGAAAGCGATCATCTTAAAAGGTCCTAAATACAGGGAGCCCCGATCTTTCAATTGACGACAGAACTTCATTTCTATTATGAATTCTGTCGAAGATTATGCCAGACGTTGGGTTAAACTTGAAAAGGAAGATCTGAATACTTGGTCAGAATGGATTAAAAATATATTAAAGAATTGTACAAGAAATTTAAAAGGCAATATATGAACCACCTATCCCTCCGTTTTCACTAATATCGGAGGTTATCAAAGAATTAGAAAGACTACTTAAACAATATGTTATGGTTCCAGCCGACAATCTTTGTTTGCAAGGCTCATTATTATAACTGTATTTTAGAAGAACTTGGTTTTAATTCTACTTTTGGAAACCAAACTTATACTTGCAGTTTACTTTCTAAAGATAAAATTATTCAAAATCACCTTTCAGTGTCTAAATGTTGTAACATTCCAGTCAGCCAAGGTGAGATCTACCCATACCTATACAAACAGAGATACGTTGCAAGGTCAAGCAAATGCTTTACTAATCCCCTATCCTTACTCCTTAAAATATTAACTGCTGTTAAGAAAAAACTTCAGACGTACTGTGCTACAGCTTGTTCTAGAAGTGGTGTAAACTGTGGATTCTCAAAACCTCCATAGTACTTCTAGAAAATTTAAAATCCCCATTTTTTTTAAACTCAGTAACTTCAAAACGTACGACGTACGACTTTTCTATAATTCATACAACCATTCTTCATGATGAATTAAAAACTATAGGCTTTTTGATATCATAGACAACTGCTTCTTCAATAAAATGAAAGTCGGAAATTTTCCTATCTTGTGATTGGTCATCAACAAAAATCACTCTGATTCTTCACACAAGTACTCTGAAGTTTACAATAAAAAGATGCCGGAGTTCCTTAAGTATTGACAACATTTATGTAGTCTTTGAAGACCAGATCTTCCAACAACAAATTTATTGTTGGAACTCCTATTAACTTAATTGTGCTCCTTTAATAGATTTTTTTAATTTCTATGAATCAGAATTTATTCAGAAACTTCTACACGAGAAGAAGAAAACACTTCCTGTGGCCTTCAATTCGACGTAGATATATCGACGATGTATTATCAATTAACAATAGTTACTTTCATTCATATGTCTATTCAATATATTCCAGTGAACTTGAGATAGAAGACAACACAGAGTCTGCCACATCTGTTTGAGTTTCACATAAGACAACATAGAGTCTGCCACATCTGTCTGAGTTTCATATAAGACAACACAGAGTCTGCCACATCTGTTTGAGTTTCATATTTGGATGTTTTACTGACTATAGACGTTAAGGGCCAACTAACAACTAAATTGTATGACAAACGAGATGACTTCAACTTTTCCATCGCCATCTTTATGTACGATGAATTTTTAAACCGATACATGCTACTGAGAGATAAGTTGATTTTACAGGGATTTCAACAACCTCGTTAAAAGTCAGCATTTCGTATATTCTATGGTCTTTATAATGACCTCCATATCAAATATAACCTATCAATGGGTCATATTTTGGCTGACTTGTTTCATACCAATTGTTTTTATACTGAATTTGACTACGGAATGTTCCGTCTACCTGATCAGTACATAGGGCTCACGGTGGATGTGACCGGTCAACAAGGGATGCTTACTCCTCTTAGGCACATGATCCCACCTCTGGAATTTCCAGGGGTCCGTGTTTTATACCCTCTTCACAGAATTGTATTGTTTAAAGATTTTTTTTAATCTATCACTGTTCATTATCTCTACCTTTTTCATTGACTTGAGAGCATCTGATGGAAAATCTGAAGTAAGAAACATTTTCAGACAATTTGGATTTTGAAGGTGGTGATTTCCTTTATTCAAAGCGACCCAGAAATAAAAAGAAAAATTAAAGGTAAATCCAACGTTGGATGATTTTCTATATTTTGTACATTTGGATCTTAACAAGTATGATTTGTCCTTTTATTCAATTTTTCTTGTTAAATATAAGACTACTTGAGTGTGGTTAAATAATTTAATATTGGATTGTGCAGCCCATACAAAGATAGACAACTTACTTTAAAACGTTTAGAAATAAGGAACGATAGTTACTTATCTTGAATCCTTTAAACTATAAAATGCTGTCTAGATTTTGTCATAAGGATACGAGACACCTTATTACTCCAAGATAAACTTAACCTAATAACATACAATTCATAAATATATTCTGAAAGCTTAACCTCGGAGTTTTGGTAATTGGTACACATTTTAATTACTAGCTATAATATATGTCAGCACAAAGATAATATTTTCTTAAACCCTGTATCGTAAGGTGGAAAGGTATTCTGAGAGAATTCGCGAAGCTCAATTGTAGATTACATGTATATTCAGTTTATAGTTGCAGTCAACTGATGGTTGATGTTTTCTACATATACTTTTGGGTGCATGTTGTTCTGGAGACATCTTTCCAAACCATATATAAAAGTCATGTTCAACGAGAATCCTACATATTAACCTCCTAATGCTATAACTGTGTGTCTAATGTTAAGTTAGGTAACCTGTGCTTATGATTGCATATATAAGAATTTTCATTAAGAAAGGAAGAGGGCTTTCGTAATGCATGTCATCTACTTTTAAATTTTTGTAAGTGTGATAAAATATATTAAAATATAATACAAACTGTTGCTGGTGTATCTTCCAAGGTATTCTCTGACACAAATTCTATATAACAAATTCTATAACGGCCTCAGGCAAACAGTTTGGTTCGTGGGGCCGACAAAACGCATGTTGCCTTCAAACCCAGTCAATAAATGTATATTAATAGTTTATAACAATCATTATGCATAATCTTTTACATAATCATTATGCAAACAATTTACTTCCCCTGGTTGAGAAAAGAAGAACTTAATTAAGACTGCAATAATGATTTTAAATACATGTATTCCATGAATTATTTTCCCCAAATGTAATAAGCAATTGGGGAAATTGTTTATGGAATACATGTATTTTATTCATGTATTACTTTTAATGTCTACAGTATATGAAGATTTTTGGCATATTTTTGTTTATTGTCATAGCATCAAAATATTTTTTTAAATATCTGTTAAAATCTTTCCTTTTGCAGAAAATGATAAAATACCATTATATCTACATATTTCAATTGAAGAGGAAGCTTAAAATCCTTTTACGTATTCACTGGCGAATTTAGAAAAGGGTAAATGCCCCCCCCCCTTTTATGACAAAAAAATACACATAAGATTAATAAATCCATTTTTTCTTTGGTGTGGGATATTGCATTGATTATACCTAAAATACAGCTAAAATCGCTTTAGGAATATGAGAACTAATTGATAAGTGTTTTATTAAAGTAAATAAGTACAAAGGTTCATTCCGTTCATTCATAGCAATATATCAACCAATCAGCAATCGGGTTAAATATGTAAACAAAGATGTCGTTAAAATGTGTATTTGTACGTCTTTCATGTTTCGTGAAATTCTAAACATTCCACAATCTGCAGATTCAAAATGAATACAGCATAGGAAAATCAATTTGTAAGTATATGTATTTCATTTGATTGTTCATATTTTTGGTCATCTGGTTAAAAATTATGTGGTCTTTAAGTTTAAGTAAAGAAGGCATCAATGAATCATATATAATCACGAGACGGCTGTTAAGAAAAAAAAAATATTACGAGACTCGGAGGAATGATTTCCAGATTTCCCTTTAATTACTTAATTTTTTAACCAATTCATTTCTTTCTTTCTTTTGTTGTTCAAAATAAATAATGCCATGTTTAGTAGTATAAATGTATGTCACATTACCCATGCATCCAACCGTAGCTTGGGTCAAAGGTTTCAGACAGAAAACATAAACAAAGTGGAATTTACTATACATGTTTCGTTAGATTTTGACTAAATTACAATGTACATAGAGAAATTAAATAACGAGCTGGGGAGTACAAACATGTGAGTATATATTTGACCCTTTAAATATTGTTAAGATCTTTTTCTTATTTTATAAAACTATGTTTTTAATCAGCCTTCACTCATGACGAAATGGCAGTAAGCCAAGTTTACGTTCTTATACTGTATGAATGAAAATAAGAGTGATCGATCTTTATTTTAACCACAAACAATACAAATCTCCCCTCACCCTGCGTTCTATGGGCCTGAACATCGGAAGTAAATTACTAAGTAAATTCCCACTTTTTCCCCACACTATTTTGAAATGTCAATATGCACCCTTAAAAAATTCGGCCTATTATTTTTTCTTATATAATCATTGTAATAAAATATAAAGATATGCTCTTGTAAGCTAAATAATTTTAAAAAAAAGAATCCCTGGTCTCAGAAGTATTTAAAAATATGACACCCATACCACTCAAGTTAGAATTCATGTCCTTAATTACGACTTATACAAATAAAGTATATATACTTTATAGAAATTTATAAAATTGCAAAGTGCTTTTCTTAGGATATATTTATCATACAAAACAAGTTAACTATCAAACAACTTCTTGTTTCTTAGTAGTAACAATGAGGATTTTCTGTCTTATGTCGGCATACCAAAATCAACCAAAACCGGGCCATAAAGGTAGAAAATTTATTTGATTTTAACTCATAATCGTACAATTTACTATCAAATATTAAACATGACAGAAAAAATAGGCTAAAATTGTCTTAAAGTCAAACCTCCAAGGACCTTAATTTCCTTTCCACATTTACCTCATCAGTATCTGGAGAAAAACACTGGAAAAAAAGTCTGCATGTACAGTAGTGATATCCATGACGGATGGACATGGGTCATAATTATTACTAATAGCAATGTATCTTGACCATTTGGTAAACTGGACATAAAAAGATCATAATAGTTATCATGTATTCTCAGGACTTTCGAACGATGAACAAAACGAAGTTGACCACACTGTATTTGCTTTACTTGATTGCGGGACAACTTTTTGCCAAAAAAGCGCCATGTCAGAGAGATAAATGGATGTATTCCACACTTACGGACAGATGCGTGCGATGCAAGTGTCAAAGAGGCTACGAGAAAGCGATTAACGAGGTAAGTTTGTTGCCAGGTATAGGTTAAAAAGAGAACCTGTGAGCATTAGAAAACAATAGGTTCTAAATTTTATTTTGATTCAATGTCATAAAATATTTTGCAGTCATAGAAAGCTAAAAATACAAGTCTTCTGTTGCTCATTTACAAAAGTCAGTCATGGTCTAGACATCATTTTTACATTCCCCGTATAGAAGTCATCAGGAGGCTTTCTTTTTCATAACCAGCTTTTTCTTAAGTATGAGTTCCTAGTGGGTTTTTTCTTAGCAAATGTTATGGACCTGTCACCAGGAACCCCAAAATTCGTATACTTTTGACCTTGGATTTGTTCTAATGACTCCGTCAAGTGTTGTGTCAGATCCTTTGACTATCCTTTTATTTAAGTTTCTTTATTTACAGTAGGTTGGACCGGAAGTAATATTCGCTATAGCAATTCTTGGGCACTAAGCAATTTTTGAACAATCTCTGTCTTTGTGCTATTTGTGAGCTGCTTTGCAAATATATGAACCAACCAGAAATTTTGAACTTCTTTTCCATGTGCCCTATCTTAAATGATCTTAATTCAAGGGGAAAATGTAATCATATCTTCTTTTCTTTATTTACCCCAGTCTAAATATACATGTACCCTTAAAAATTATTAATATGTTTAAAGTTGCAAAAAAGAAAGAAAGAAATTAACAAACCATTTATTAATTAATATGGAGGGATAAAAAAAATCAAAAATTGTATATGAAATATATGTTCTATTTATATTTGCAGGAAATCCCCTATGACAAGGTTCTTGGTGCTTTGAAGTGTCCAAACTGTACTCGTTGTGATTCTGGTTACTACAGTAACAGACAGACAAACTTCCAATGTGTTGAGTGTTCTACGCCATGTAATGTATTAAACAGACTTTCAATAAGACCGTGTACCGGCCGGGCCAATGTTAAATGCGGAGAATGCATTACTGGGTACGTTGAAAGTATATACCTCAAACAATGAATTTAGACAATCAGCTATAAAACAGAAAGTTTACTTGGACAATTTGGTTTTCAGATACTATGAATGGTTAAAGGGAGCTGTTTCCTGTACATCATGCAAAGATAACTGGAGTTTGCGTGAATGTGGGACATCCCCAGCAATATCAACCGAATTTTCTCCAATGGAATCTACATATGGGCTACTGGAAATAAAAAATGACAACACGGAAACCTATTCGATTCCATATGATCTGAAATCGGGTAAGTCTCAAATACATGGCGTGTTTCATTCTGTTTCTTTCATTGGTTTACACTGATAGTAATAAACCACACGCTCCTTTTTAGGCTGAAAATCTAGTCTTGTGTTAGTCTGTCATTTTTTTCTTACTTTTCAGCAAGTTCCCGAGAAATAACTTTGGTTATTTTATGCGTGGTCTTGGTAGTCCTTGCGATCCTAGTACTCTCTGTTTTGTACTGTGTCTACAAAGCCTGCAGTGACTCAAGGAGGAATCGTAACGGCTATACTTTTGGCTCATCTTCTTCTCAAACTACTGGATCTTCGGGTTCCTTATTAAAAGGAGATGTGCCAAATTCAGGTAAAACATTAAGATAAAACTAGCTGTATCGAAACTTGTTTTCGGAGTATATGTATATATTAGTTTTCAGTTCAGCTCAGCAAGTAAATATATTTTCAGATCTTGAAATGGACACACAGCCATTGGAAGGTAAGCCGTGCGCTTTCAATAAATCTCGCAGATATTTCATTAATAACAATATTATACGTCTTATAGTTTCTACCTTTGTTTTTTCCTTTTAAGGTAATGTTCCCGGAAACAAAGAAAGAACGCTTGATTACGATGAAGACGAGGTAAACAAGCTGAAAACCATAGTTGTCCAGAGAGATGGTAGTCTACTTCGAACAATCGCAACAAAAATTGACAGAGATCCAGCTCGTGTTTTTATGGATCTAGAAATAGGAGATCACGTGGTATTTCAAGCGAAAAAGAATAATGAACTTCAAAAGCTTCCCATTGCAGAGTGCTATTTAACAATTCTCAAAAAGTGGGTGGAGAAAAACGATAAAAAGGCAACAAAAGCGATACTTTATATAGCTTTTTGGAACGCTGAAATGTACTCAGTTTGTCAGCTGATTTCTTGTGATGACAAATTATGATAAACAGAATTTTGCATTGTTTACACTTGGACGGATTCTTTTCAACATAGCTCAACTATTTATTGAATTGATCTTTTCGCTTTAGATTAGGATAAGCCTAGTTAACGCGCTAATCAAGTACATGTTCTTTCACTTGGATACTGTTATGCTCAAAATGTATTCTAGTTATAGTTAAACATGTATACCAGTTATAGTTAAACATGTATAAAAGTTATAGTTGAACATGTATACCACTTATGTTGTTTTCTGTTCACTATCAGAGAATGGGATTTTTTTTTTTAAATTTATTTTATAGATCAATAATATGACCTGTTACCTTAGTAAAAAGAAAGAATGTCTATTGTTGATTAAGACAAAGATACATTGTTTTGAACAGTAGATTCCGAACTGTATTTCAGTCGCTTGCTTAAGAAATGTGTGTCAGTTTCGGAGATTTTAATGGGTTATGTTTAAGATAAAATTATCATACGGGTTCTGAATTAACGTTTTGATTTTTACACGTATTGTTCATAACGTAGTGCAATTATTTGGAATTTATGTATATACTGAGTAATGGTCATTTGATTTTATCACAGATAAAATATCTTTAAGGCTAAATTTTACAATAGATATGGAATATATACAGAACTGCTGGTTCTGCCTTGTGTATGTTTTTTGTTTGTTTGTGCATGTTTAACAACTATTTTTGATACAATGCTGTAGGGGTTGCAGGTCGATCCAAGTGACTAGGTTGATTAGGTAGCATATTCTTTTTTCCCATAACTTATGTAGATAGGAGTTTTATGTCAAACTATTTGGCCACATTTAATGGAGAACAATTTGATTTATTTTCCTCTTCCAAAATCACAATGATTAACAGCCCTTGAATCTTGGCACATGTATATTATTTCAAGTGTGTACTTTTCCATTGATTTGAGAAGTATTCCGAACAAAGTTCAATGATATTAAAATTTTCCAGAAACCAGCCATGACTATATGCAGCTAATTGTTTTCCAAAGCAGTAAATTGTTCAGGTCCTTTTGGATTTAATCCTATCCTGGGATTTGTAATAGGGCATTGTTATGTATATGCAATGTTAATATTTACTTCGTCCAGATCTCCACTGCTTTCATATTATGCATAATGATTTCAAATGATATTGATCATTCTATGATCTCCTTGACTTTTTTTCATTATTTCTTTCAATGACTTTATTGTACATTCACTGATATTGAGAGGGAGAGAGAGAGAGAGAGAAATTACGTACTATGAACATAGGTATCATGCATGAAGTATGTTAAACAGTTCTGAATGCATTAATTGACATATCAAACTTGAGATTATATTTACTTACATGTATATAAGTCATAGTCAGTTGTTTCCACAATTTAAAGAGTGTAAGTAAGAGAGCTTACTTAACTTCGTTATTAAGTAAAGTAGCTCTCTAAAACCCCAGTCACATTTCCAAAAACGACCAACGGCCTACGGTTTTTGAGGCAAAAATAGAATTCTTCGGGCGACAGTCGGTTGTTCATCGGCCATTGTCTTGCCCGATTTTGACCTCTTTTTTTTTTTTCGTCGGTCGGCCAATTTTATGTCTATCGGGCAATGTTATAATTTTTTCTGCGTCGGTGCCCGATTCCTTCAATTGAAGCAGTCGTTGAATAGTCTGTCGACCAACCTTCGAACATCGTCCGACCATCGGCAGACAGTTCGTTAAGTCGGTCGATCGACATTTAGGAATTGGGTTTTCGTAAATGTCGGCCGACGGTCAAAATCAAACTGCGGCTCAGCGAAAGATGATCGGGCGACTGTTGGCGGACTTTGAGTTATTTAATTTTTGAAAGTTATCGGTGTTCTTAGGAAATAATGTGACTGCTCCGTTATTAAGTAAAGTAGCTCTCTAAACTTCCTACGGTTATTAAGTAAGGTGGCTGTCTAAAATTCGTTACAGTTATTAAGTAAGGTGGCTGTCTAAACTTCGTTACAGTTATTTAGGTACTCTCGAAACTTTGTACAGTTATTAAGCAAGATGGCTGTCTAAACTTCGTTACAGTTATTAAGTGAGGTGGCTGTCTAAACTTCGATCGTTACAGTTATTAAGGTAGCTCTCTTAACTTCACTGCAGTTAGTAAGGTAGCACTATAAATTTTCTTAGTTATAAACAATTAAAATAATGTTACTGATACAAAGCAGAAGTCGGGAGCTACATTAAATGCCATAGTCCAAAACTTCATTCGTTATAGAATTCTACTCAATATTAGACATTTACATGTACTTTAATTTTTTCAACTGAGAGTTAGTTAACGTATTCGAAACCAAGGCTCTCCCCTGAGAAGGTTGTTGACCTACTTAGATCATTACCTAGAGCCACCAATGTCCATATATGTGTATGTATATAGATATATGTTGTTTTGTATTGCGAATAGTTTTTTCTCATGGAAAAAAAAAATACTTTGTTATTAATAAAACAATTCACCTGACATTTTTATACTTTTGATTTGAACAGAAAAAATCCTTAAACGGAAAGGAATGGACAATTTCTCATTTGACCTAGTCAGATATGAAACAGTATATCTAGTGTGTTGTAAATTTAAATTTGCTAGGAAGGGGGTACTCTTACAAGTAAGATCCTCGGGTAACGTCCCTACGATCCTTATATACGCTACGGGAAGTCAAAAGTATCTCCCCGTGAACCTCTAGCATGCTGGAGTAAGTAGAGGGAAACCCCTTCCAGGAACGTCATCCACACCTTCAGTTGTCCACTCTGATTGCATACTGTGATGACACAGTACTGAGAACACGAACATTATCATAAAAAAAAATTAAATGGGAAAGTTCCAGTTGATTTGGTTTTTAGCTCTAATGGTCAGAGACCAGAAGAGCTCATGTGATAGTAAGGTGTCCGTCCGTCTGTCTGTCTGTTTGTCCGTCCATAAACAATTTTTCAAAACGCTACTCCTCCTACAGTTTTGGTCTGATTTCAATATAACTTGGCACACAAGTAGACTACACTAAGATACATAATTCTGTTTATCGGTTTTTGATTTCAATGAATGGTGTTGCCATGGTTACTAAAAATAGAAATTTCTGTGAAAAACTTTCAAAATTCTACTCCTCTTGCAGCTTTGAACCGATTTCAGTCTGACCTGGCACACAAGTAGACTACACTAAGATACATAATTCTGTGTATCGGGTTTTAATTTCTATCAACGGTGTTGCCATGGTTACTAAAAATAGAGATTTCTTGGAAATACTTTCAAAACGCTACTCCTCCTACAGTTTTGATCTCATTATATAATTTGGCACTCAAGAAGACTACATTAAGATACGTAATTCTTTATATCTGTTTTTGATTTCTATGAACGCTGTTGCCATGGTTACTAAAAATAGAAATTTCTGTGAAATACTTTCAAAATGCTATTCCTCCTACAGTTTTGGTCTGATTTTAGTATAACTTGGCACACAAGTAATCAACACTAAGTTACATAATTCTCTTTATCAGTTTTGGATTTCGATGAACAGTGTTACCATGGTTACTAAAAATAGAAATTTCTTGAAATACTTTCAAAAAGCTACTCCTCCTACACTTTTTGTCTGATTTCAGTATAACTTGGCATACAAGTAGACTACACTGAGATACATAATTGTCAATATTGCTTTCTGATTTTGTTGAGTGATGTTGCCATGGTTACTTAAATCGAAATTTCTGTAAAATTATTTTAAAAGGCTACTCCTCCTACAGTTTTAGTCTGATTGCAATAAATCTTGCAAAAATATAGACTAAACCAAAGATCATTATTCTATTTTGCTGTTGCAGAGTTTCAAGTCCAAGTGCTATTTTTATCTTCCTTTATAAGTACAACCAGTAGAGCTACAGTCTCCTCAGAGACTTCTGGTTTTGTTTTTGTTTTGTTTTGTGGTTTGTTTGTTTGTTTGTTTGTTTTTTTTTTTTTTGGGGGGGGGGGGTATCAAACAACAATTCAGAGTACAAAGTAATAGCTAAACATATACATTGTATACAGTATATTATAAGGTATAACAAAATAAGAGTGAGTATTATAAAAGTATAATGGACGTGTTATATCAGGTAATTGTAATTATAAAACACTTAAAAATTACAAATGATTCATTCTTCTAGTGGAGGCTTGATATAAGTATTTTCCAAATTACAAAGTTCCTTAACATTTTGTAAGCTAAGAAGTTGAATTATTTTCCATACACTGGATTTCTTGTAATAATACTTTTTCAAATGCTCCAATCTACATGTAGGGTCATGATAGAAAGACTTTTGCGAGAAGCACTGACTTTTACACTCGACGGCTTTCTTTGACATTTAAACATGTATTATGTACGGAGGTACAGAATTGATATTAGATTAGAAATCCTTGCTTGTGGTCATAGGTATGGTGTTAGGGTCACTTACATGATTTACTGGTATGCAATCAACAGAAGAGATGATGGGAGGTAGAATAACATATCTTAAAATACCTTATTTGTAAGGGGCAGTATTTCCTTTCAATGTCATTTTATGAAGGAATCAAATAAGGAAGGAAAAAAACATTCCGGAAGGAAAACCTGGCAGGAGTTGGTCAAGGAAGGAAGGGAGGGGGTTTAGTATAGGGTGTTTCACGTTCAACTCCCTAGACAACGTAATATGTGCGTTGAAATGCCCAATTATTATCTTTGAATTAACTGTTAAGCTAAATATTTACATCGAAAAAGAGCTGCCGTATATTGTCCAAGTGCAAAAGTAAGTCGTCGATTGTAAAAGTCAGCGCTTCTAGCAAAAGTCCTTTATAAGTCCATATCAAGTCAAGACTTCTCATGTTAAGATTGCCTGTTCCTCAATATGTTCTAAGGAAATGGCGAATATGCCAGGGACCTATATACTAACAATTCCACCCTCAGAATTTTATGGGTTCAAAGTAGAAAAAGTGCATTTATTTTCACTTAATATAGTTTAAATTAATTTATAATCGCAAAAAAAGAGATAATAATAGATTGCCATATTTAAGTCAGTGCACGTGTATTGCAGTCAATTTATTTATTTCACGCACTTCGTAATAGATAACCTTGCTGGCAATGTTTGTAAACAGAACATATTTTATGTATGTTTCTGGGTCATTCGGTCTAGTGATTTCAGAATCCCCCTTATTTATAAATAAAAAGTAATATGAGAACTGTTTATATATACACACACAAAGGCGTTATTGTCGAAATCCATCCCTCTGTATCAGTAATTACCGCCAGTTTTACTGTTTTAGTTATCCATCCCTTTGTATCAGTAATTACCGCCAGTTTTACTGTTTTAGTTATCCATCCCTCTGTATGAGTAATTATCACCAGTTTTACTGTTTTAGTTATCCATCCCTTTGTATCAGTAATTACCGCCAGTTTTACTTATCCATCCCTTTGTATCAGTAATTACCGCCAGTTTTACTGTTTAGTTATCCATCCCTCTGTATCAGTAATTATCTACAGGTTTTCTGTTTTAGTTATCAATCCCTTTGCATCAGTAATTACCGCCAGTTTTACTTATCCATCCCTTTGTATCAGTAATTACCGCCAGTTTTACTTATCCATCCCTTTGTATCAGTAATTACCGCCAGTTTTACTTATCCATCCCTTTGTATCAGTAATTACCGCCAGTTTTACTTATCCATCCCTTTGTGTCAGTAATTACCGCCAGGTTCTCTGTTTTAGTTATCCATCTTTGTTTAGATTTTGCTTCTACCAAGGTGAACAGTTCTATAATTTATATGGTGGGTTGATAATTTCGGGAACATTTTCTATCAGCAGCTGTTTGAATGTTGTTTTGTCAGTTCATCTGTTTCTCAGAAGTGTCTGTATTGTAAGTCAATGGGAGCATTCTTCTCAGTTGTGGGGTGTGATCCTTCATCAACAGTAAAATTACTAGTTGTACCACTATAACTACCTCCCTCGACTCACTGTATGGATATACTTTTTATGTCCTTGGAGTTTGATCCGTTTCACAAAAGCTTCATTCAGAGAAGCTCAACTGGACACGTATCAAACATTTCTATAAAATTTTGAATACCCTTGCTTTATAACTTGAAATATTTTTCTTCAAATCCAATATTGCTTATATTCAAAAGCATGCTCGAACCTCTGAATATAGAGGCTTTACTACATATGATTTTGTCATGGCAGGCTCTTCGTACAACAACACATTTTCTGGTAGAAACGGCATAGATTACAAATGAGAAGACAATAATTAAGCGGCAGTGCTTAAAATTAAATGTTCAGCCTTTGAAATAAGTGCAGTTTTTCTGACCCAGTGCTAAAAATAAACTTAAATATTTGTAAACATAACCTAGATTTAAGGTCCATTGAAAATGGATTTCCCAAACACGGGAAAGCTACGTGATCAATACCATAACAGGAGGGCGTGGTAGAAAGGACTGGTAAAACGTAGTAGTGCGACAGCCTCTGACAGGCTGTACAACATAGTCTTCATTGTAATAACTTATTGCTCGACTTTGAAATCCGACCCACTTTATGAGCATAGGGTTTATGAGATTGAGGTATTTGCGGGCTTTGATCGAAGTTGTTTTGGTGAGTGAAATCTGACTTAATGCATAAAGTTTACCCAATCAGAAAATTACAAAGAATATTGTTAATGTGTAACGTAATTATTTAATTTGAAGATTAAAGCGCAATCTGGCGGGAAAAGTTGCCTTACTGTTTCTGTTGGCAAGCGGGAATCAGTTTAAGTCAATATCGGCCAGAGCAAGGTCATGTATACCGGAAGTGGAAGCTTTCATTAATGGAAGTTGTATTCCTTGTGCTTGTCCAAACGGTTTTGTGAGGCAAAATAAACAGGTTGGTATCTTAACGTATTTAGACTGTACCTTTGTCAAGGATGCATATTTTAACTTTCTTATAATTTATTAAATAAACGGTTTTTACTGAATACAGTGCGATTGTCATGATATTTTATGATATGGCAATTTACTATAGTATTCAGTGTAAGGACAAGAAGATTTAGGACATCCTTGTTAATCTTGAACTTGATTTACACATATTTTGACATGCAATCCTAACAAACATCTTGTATTTCAGAAGTTTTGCCTATTTCCGTCACCCAGTGTGAACTTGTGAGAAAAAGCATCATTATTATAAGTAACTCCATTATATTGTAGTTCACTGTAGTATGTGTTAAAGGACTGATTATAACTGTCATTTGAACTCACATAATATGCTCAAATTTTTAGCATGTTATACATTTATTATTCATGTTTTACATACTATTGAAATAATCATCAGTATTGCTTCAAATCAATTATTTTAATGTTTACTGTGAATGTTTACATATACTTAATTCTTGTTTTTAAATTTGCGTTGATAAGGTACATGTATTATGTTTTACCGAGTTACTGATGTTTCGCCCTCTTTCAGTTAAACCCTAGAGGCGAGGTTCCTGCAGAATGTCCAGAGTGCGTCCGCTGTCCGAAGGGAACGTTCAGCGAGCCCTGGACGGAGAATACCTGTATCAGGTGTTCAACACCGTGTGGCGAAATGAACAGAAACACGTTACTCACCTGCAATGGCGCATCCGACAGAAGATGTGGATCATGTCTGAAAGGGTAATCAAGCCATGACAATGCTAGATTCTATTCTCTGAGACAGGAAAGTTTCTTCAATTTTACGGAGATCATGTTTTGATCCTCAGATTTTACATGGCTTTCCACCATGACGAAGAGTGTGTTAGCTGTAGAAATGATCGTCTCAACAGACCAGAATGTGTGACATATCGACAAGTAGTCCTCTCCACCACACACTCAACAAGCAAGATGCCCATAGACAGAGAGCAAACGATAACCATCAGCGGTTTAGAAGCACAAAGAGAAGGTTTCTTTTAATTAAGGCTGAATGTAGTATGACAGTCAATAATGATTCAACTTTATTGAGGACAAATAGAATCTAAATATATTTTCTGATTGTAGGAAAATCCGAAATTCTTACCAGTGTCGTGTTGGTCCTGATGGCAGTTGCAATTATCTGTGCCATTGTGTTGATTTTTGTAAAAAGCAAGAAAGGTGATCATGATTCCACGAGAACAGACAAGACCCAAGACAACCCTTGGGGGAGTACCTCAACAAGACTTGGTAAATGTTTGTTCTAAATGCTATAGTTTAAAAGGTTTAGTGTTTAATTAAATGAAATGTGAAAGGTATTATTATCAGTACAGAAAGATTCGTGAATCCTTCACACTTCTTTTTTATTTTACTCCCACTGGTAACCACTATCGTGTTTGTCTTGCAGACGAGACTGATTTGGAAGCTGACTGTATACTTTTACGGGGTAAAAGTTGCATTTCTTTTCCTTTATACTGATACTTTATTCCTGTATACTGATTATCCAGATTTATATTTTATTCAGTGTTAGTGCTTTGCTGCTGTCCGTTTCTTGTGACATGATGCTTTCTTTTGTAGAAAATCTGGACGAAAACGACAGAGTCGAGCTAAACGCAGCATTTGATGTTGCTATCACTCGCGATGACCCCTTGCTTCTGCGCGTTGCCAAGCACATTGATAACGAACCAGAGGAAATCTTCGAGGATCTAGGAATTCCTAAAAACATCTTTTTCCAAACTGAGAAAAACATCTGCATCCAGGTGGGGTCTCAGATTGCTGACGTGTACTACGGTGTGTTACAGAAGTGGGTGGAGAGAAGTGGCAGAGCAGCAACAAAGCGAGTACTGTTCAGAGCTTTCGAAAAGTTCGGTATGGCCTCTGTCTGTCAAGTCTTGATTGATGACACTAAAACTTTCTGAAGATATAAGAATTATTTAACCCATAAACAGTATGCTAATCTTCATTGTTGTATAATGTTACTATTTCATTCAAAATAAAATATATGAATAGTGCATGTGATAGAGTTTCATGAGTATTAAAGCATTTTTATGCTGTGGTTAAATGCACGTGTCTGCACATAGATTATGTATTTTTGCATTTATTTCTTTAATAAAATAAAGAACGATTTTGATTGTGTTTTTTTTATGTTTCCGTTAAGATTTTTTGTCCTGTATCCCTTATGTATATCTAAGTATATTTACAACTGCTTATGAATGATGACTGAAATATTCTCAAATTAAGTTTTAATTTGAACACAAGGCATATTTATCCCCTTCAAAAATAAATAATTAGTATTTCATTAAGGAGAATGCATTACTAATTATCTGAAATATCAGGATTCCAGCTTGGAATCTTCTAACACAGTAACGTCGGTTAAAGTCCAACGCGTGATACAAAACTGATCAATGAATGTTTTTTAAATCTATTTACAGAGCTTCAGTCGTCGTTTTCTTATGATAAAATCCAAAACCTTTTTCCGTTATCGAGATCTACTGTGTTACTCCAAATTCAGTTCTTGTAAACAAAAATTGGAATTGTCTCTGTTCAGGCACGAGAGCCTACGTTACAAATTAATAGAGTTACTTAAGTTATCAAATCGCCGGTCAGAAAAATTGTGTAGATACATGTATAAGATCATTGGCCTTGTCATGATCTGCTCTTTTTAGAAGCGTTTTTTTTTTTATTTCTAAATTTTTAAATTATTTGTGCATCAATAATTTTAGAGAGTGTTACTTTTATCTATTTGTTATGGTGTTCTGCAGGTTTCATGCATTTCACTCGACCCAGTAAATCAACATTAAGTCATTTTCTGTCTAAATATATTATTGGTATTATTATATTATAATAATAATATTATATTATTATATTATAATATTTTAATATAATAATATTATTATTATATTAATATTATAATAATAATATTGAATTATTACTCTTGGTTGTTTCAAAAGAATCTAATGCATTGGTAATGAAATTCAAACAAACAGAAGCACGGAAAGGGGGGATGTCTTTTACCGTGATCATCCAAAAATATTTCTACATTTAGATGATGCGATAATACTCTGAAAATAATTTTTGGGAAATTGGATCAAACAATTAACATTCATATGCACGTGTTTAAATATACACGATACAAGTAAATACTATCTTTTCTACCAACAGTTTACTAATGACTTAATTCGATCCTTTCACTTCTATAAGAGTATATGACATTTCATATTATGCATGAAGGTTGTTCACAAAAAAACTTGCCAGTTACCAGACCCTCGAAATCAAAAATGATGTCCATTTTTGTGTAGTATACTTAATTTCTATAATTAAGCAATTAAGTTGACGACTTGACGCACTGACATAAACCTTGAATAAATAATTTTTCACACATAATCAACCTTTATTAGATATGCGTGATGAAATTGTGTTTTTCGCTCCCCGTTAAGCTAATAAATCAGCTTTTCTGCTGCAAGGAAAATTTTGGGAATGATCACCGTAACAATGTTAAAATTATTTATTTTGGGGGGAGAGAGGGGGAGGGAGACCTCCATTCCCTAAATTCAGATATGATATATGACATATTGACAATGTAATGAAACAAATTTAAGTCATGAGTTTGGATTTCATCCAAATTGAAAGGTTTTAGAGACATGTCCTGGAGTAGCTGCAGAAAAGTAGCTCTCCGAAAAAAAAAAATACTGACAGACCAACCATACCAATTTTTTTCGACCAGCGAACTACGTACAGACTGGAACAAAGTTTAGTGACAGACAGCAGACAGACAGGCAATTTTAACTATACCAAAATAGTTTTTTCTCCTCGATCTCTATGGGCATCTGATGGGGGAGATATACATGTATATAAGTTTCTCTGGTTTGATCGTTTTTGGACAGTGGGTCTCTCAGTTATCTAGAATTCAAAAGTTCGATTAAATCGTTACCTTTCACGGGTTACAAGTAAGATATTAATGTATTATTCCTAGGAAACTGTGGTGTGAGTGACGGATACTCCGACATGGTCGGACCAAAGATTGCACTGGTATTTCAATGACAAGGTCCCTAAAATATCTCACTTAATATACATATAAATAATTATGATCTAAATTCTAAATGTAATAGACTTTAAAAAATTCTATTTTCGTTTTCGGTTTAATGCTATGCAGCGTGATCATGGCATGATCACTTTTTCATTGGACAAACAACTTTATGCAAATGAAAAGAATGCATTTTCCTCCACTGAAATCGCTTTATGCAGTGTTTGTAAACAAAGATGTGTGAACATTAAATAATAAAATTCTTGTACGTATTTACGGAATTGGCATATTAAAATTCAAAAATATTTGAGAAGGTACTATAAGCCTTTGTGTCTAATCCAATTTTCAATTATTAGAACAAAAAAACATGTATTTGATTCTTTCGGAATTTTCCTCCAAAGTTTTTGTTTCTTTGTTTACAGGAGTCTGAAAATGGAAAGCATAAAAGTGATATTTATTATGGTGATCACACACCAGAATTATTTCAGTGAGAGCGCAAATGTCAAATGTAAACCAGGCCTTGAGCATCTGAACAAAGGAGTCTGTGAGCCTTGTCTTTGTCCCAAAGGACATGGTCTAAATATCTCAATGGTAAGTCAACTTAAAATATATACTAGTAATCAGGGGCGGATCCAGGATTTCCAATTGGGAGTTAACTTATTAAAGAGGTTCATGCAGTGGCAACAGACATTAACATTTTACAAGACTTTCTAAATAACTTTCTAATAGGGTGCCTCACCTAATTCCGCTACTGACAATGAAGTTCTGACATTCATTTCGTTTTGGTTTTGTAACAGGTTTCAGTTGACAAACTGGCGGGAAATGCTTCGTGTTCACCCTGTATACCCTGTACACCTGGCCAATTTTCTAGTCTCCAAACAAAATTTTTGTGCGAGAAATGTTCAATGCCTTGCAATATGCAAAACAGAATCACCATTCAACATTGTGGCAGTGAGAATGATTATGTGTGCGGTGAGTGTATGACTGGGTAAGTATTGCAGTAATTTTAAATATACTAGAACTAAGTATGTGCTTATACTTCAAGGATTGAATAATAGAGAAAGTTTTATGTGCCATCTTGAAATTCTGATTACGTTGAAAATTTGTAACACATCCCAATTATGAAAAGTTATGTAACACTTGCTGCGTGTAAAAACTAATACTAGCTGGTACAAACTACAGGTAAAATTCTCCCTCCACCATCAATTCAGAAGCGAAAGTTAGTAGTTTGTAATTTAATCACTTAAAAAAAAATAAAGAATTCTTTTTTATGACCTCTGGAGCCACAGAGCTCTGCGCATAGTAGGTGAATGGCCTTTCCGAAAAGAGTATAGTGTTCGTGTGTGACATCATTGTGACCACTAGTGAAACATTTTTGACAGTAACTGTTATGTTTGGTAAAGTTCACTGGGATATATAGGATCATAAAAGCTCAAGCCTGCATACTAGTAGCTCATTTGAGTCTCAAACAATATACTCATACATGTATAGATGTTAAAATAAATAAGCAGTTAATTAATACCTACTCTTGTGAATTAGATGTCCATCTACATTTCTACACAGGTACATGAAGGCCACAGACAAGGTTTGTCGGTCTATGGATAGCCACGGAAGAGAAATCCGACGTCAGCTTAAAGATGGTATGGTTTTTATACAGGTTTAGAAAAGCCGGTAGACTTTTCCAGAAGTAGGAACCTATTTCAATGAATGTTTCATGTTATATAAATGAGTCTTAAAGAGTTCTTCAAAATAGTGTAAACTCATTTTAATTTAATCTAATAGTTGCAAAATAGTGATACATGTAAGTAGTTGGTCAATTAGCAGTGAAATCTTTGGCGATGAGTATAATCATAAAAAATTGTATGTTTCAGACGATCACACGGTATACTTTGTTTTGGCGGGAATCACCATACCACTGTGGATGGTCTGTATCTGTTATTGCATATTTAGAAATAAAATTGGGTCTTGGAGGCAAAAACCAAAGACAGATTGCAAACAACCAGACGCGTGCAAGATCAACATGATACATATCAGTAAGTTATCCATCTAATTTTTGTTAGATATTCTAATGGTATTTTTTATTTACCGAAATACCCTTAATCCAGTATTTATTTCTGACCATGTAACAATATTCACTTTACAGTTAACCATAATATTAAGGATGATCCGTTTGATCCAAAAATAGATGAAAAGACTTTAATTGGTAAGTCTCTCTCCCCCCCCCTCTCTCTCTCTCTCTCGCTCTCTCTCTCTGTTATATTGTTATTTTCATAAACTTTTATTAACTGTTTAGAACATCCAGAGCCCTGATGAAGCTGGTACCATGCAGACACTGTTTGACATTAACAAAGATTCAGGTGTAAACATTCCATAATGTATGACATTCCCTAGCGGATATTCGTTTGGAATCTTGCAATAGATCGAGGCCAAGCTTTAATTTATCAACAAAGGATAGAATATTTGACGACTGCATTTTCCGACTTGCTTTAAAGAATAAAAAAAAAACCTAATGATGTCATTTTGAGATATTGCAAACAAACCTTTAGCTGGTTTTTTTGTACATGTCTTTACATTGTTCACAATTGGGTATTTTAGAGAATCTCTCGATTTCTGCTGTTTTGTAAACCCTAACAAAAAAGTACTATAGTTAACTATAGTTTACTAATCAAAGTTTAGTATACTTAACTATGGTAAACTATAGTTAACTATAGTAAATTTTTGTTAGGGAATGAATGGATATATATTTAGGTTAATGTATGTCTAACCGAGTTGTTATGCCGCATTATATCTTCCAGATCCTCCCATGAACTCCTCTTTTCAGAAATCAGGCTACGTATTTATTGCTTTATTATTCCCTATTTTATAATCACTTTTTAATTGTTTCACATTTTGATAGTTATATTTAGACTTTACTGTGCATGATCATGTATTTTTCTAAAGAAATGTTGATCTGTCAAATTTTAAATGATCTTCCCGTCTGATAATGTTTGTTGTCTCCAAAGTTTTATTTCTTACCTATATACTAAATATCCAGCTGGGCTTTGTATCATAAGTATGTGGCAATGCAAAATGAATTGGTTATTATGTATTTTTAATTTTGTAGCATTCTGCACAAATTTGTGTTTTATTTTTTTTATTTCGTATTTTGACGTTTTGTCGAAGATTTAAACTTGTAGTGTAAACGATTGAATCAGACAGACCAACCGTGCCTTTGCAAATTTAAGGAGGTTTTGTACATGTATTTTGTTCATTTCCCTTGAAACTATAAATGCTGCACATTAAAGGTTTAATATGTGTGGAGTTTCAAGACTGGTGACTCTCTTTCCAGACTGAGAGTTGCCGTTCCTTTCATGAACATTGTACATGGAAGGAAAAGCAACTCTCGTCTTGTAAAAGATTAATATGTCATCATCATGCTAATAATAATAATAAAAATATTTTATAAAATTTTATTTTTATACACAAATTTTGTTGATATATTTTCTATATGAATCAGTATGTCTCATTGTACATCTTTTATATTTGGAAATAAACTGAATAATACATTAATCTCTATCTGTCACAGTTTTATTTGTTTCTGTCTATGCACTCCTATCTGTACAGTTTCATAATTTATCGGTTGGACAATGTATATATATTATGCGTATGAGTGGTATATATTTCCGACATAAATCACCGCCATAGAGAATGTTACACAAAGTTGCACAAAGCTAGATCTCATTTTCAAGCTTCATTTTGAGACTTTTAAAATAAAATAATAAATTTAAGAGTTATGCTTCCTGGCTGAGGATAGGATATATCCATTATGCAGAGGAAAAAATATACAAAAGATTTCATTATTGACAAAGATATTTGGATAGTACATGACTGGTGCAAGGAAAAAATAAAACATTACAAAGTACACGTATCAATTTATATAATACAATGCCATTGTGTATTATTTTGCATTATATGTCATTGATATATTATATTGTATATTATCTTGATATTCGATAACATGTTTGCCTTAAACAATAAATATATTACAAGTGAAAATTCATATAACTGTAAACGGGTTCTGTTCAATGAGGAGTGTTAATGAGTCGGCCTTTGCTCGGATCTCAATTTTTAACCTGGTTTTCCATCGAAAAATCCGGTTATTGAAATGATGAAAATGGCGGACTGGCGGTTGCAGGTACATCTTTTGTTTGTATTACCCCTCTCCCAGTCTTCAATTTAAAAAAATTAAGATTTTTGTTATTATTGTTTTGCAGATCCATGAGAGATGTGTATTCTACTTGGATTTTGATTTTTGATAATTAATGAGAAAAATGCCATGCATCTGTTGTTTGCAAAATATTGTTTATTGTCCGGATGACTCTACCTACAGTTTTCAAGTTGAGACGTTTTTTATTTTGCAGCTCAATTTTACATATATCACAGATGTACATGTTACTTGGATTTTGATTTTTGATAATTAGTAAGGAAAATACCAGTTGTTAAACTCTTTTTTACGCAAAATATGTTCATACATTATTATTCTCGGGATGTCACCTCCAACAGTTTACGTACAGAAATAAATAAATAATACGAGAAATAGCAGGACTGTTCACACGGAGGAAAACACAGATTGCTGTCACACTGACTGCTTTTCCCTTTGTTTTTGTTTTTTGTTTTTTCTATTGTAGGAACAATTCATTACTGAACTCTGTCCTTTCCATTGCTTCAGTGTTCATTCGCTGAGGGAACTGTGGTACCTATAGGTCCCATTGACCCTTACCTACAGTACGTAAAGATATTTGAAGCTATCCAGTCAGGCTGAAAGAACAATAATTGCTCTGTATAGCCGGATTGAACATAAACCTGTGAACATTATTGCAGTGCTAAAATGTATGAAAAATTGAAATTTAGTAATTTTGTGTGATAATACGTAATTCAAATCTGTATAGTAGCTGTAGTAGTAGTAGTAGTAGAAGAAGTGGTATGTAGTAGTATAAAAAGTAATAGTACCAGTGGTAGTAGTATGGAATAGTAGTAGTGGTAGTAGTAGTAGAACTATAGTAGTATTAGTAGTAGTGTTGATAGATGTAGTTGAAGTAGTATAGCAGTAGTATTAAATGTAGTAGTGTTGGTAGAAGTAGCAGTAGAACTATAGTAGTATTTGTAGTAGTAGAGATTGTAGAAGTAGTAGCTGTAGTATTAGAAGTAGTAGTAGTAGTAGTATGTTGTATTAGTAGTAGTGGTAGTGGTAGTATGTAGTAGTGGTAGTGGTAGTGGTAGTATGTAGTAGTGGTAGTGGTAGTGGTAGTATGTAGTAGTGGTAGTGGTAGTGGTAGTATGTAGTAGTGGTAGTATGTAGTAGTGGTAGTGGTAGTATGTAGTAGTGAGGAAGTGGTAGTGGTAGTATGTAGTAGTGGTAGTGGTAGTATGTAGTAGTGGTAGTAGTAGTATGTAGTAGTGGTAGTGGTAGTAGTGGTAGTATGTAATAGTAGTGGTAGTGGTAGGAGTGGTAGTATGTAGTAGTAGTAGTGGTAGTGGTAGTATGTAGTAGTAGTAGTAGTAGCAGTAGTAGCAGTATGTAGTAGTAGAGGTAGAACTATAGTAGTATTAGTAATAGTAGTGTTGGAAGAAATAGTAGAAGTAGTAGTATGTAGTAGTATTTAAAGTAGTATAAGTACTAGTAATAATAGTAGAAGAAGAAGTGGTATGTAGTAGTATTAAAAGTAGTAATACTAGTAGTAGTAGGATTATAGTAGTATAAGTAGTAGTAGTGTTGGTAGAAGAAATAGAAGTAGTATAGTAGTAGTATTAGAAGTAGTAGTATTACAAGTAGTAGTGTTTGTAGAAGTAGAATTAAAGTATTATTAGAAGTAGTGATCATATGGTAGAAGTAGTAGTAGTTGTAGTAGTAAGAGAAGTAGTGGTATTTGAAGTAGTATTAGAAGAAATACTAAGTACTACTACTACTAGTAGTAGTAGTAATAGTACATGTAGTAGTAGTTGTTGTTGTACTATGTAGTAGTAGTAGTAGTGTTTAAAGTAGTAGTACTAGTAGTAGTAGAGGTAGAATTATAGTTGTATTAGTAATAATAGTGTTGGTAGAAGTAGTAATAGTAGTAGAAGAAGCATTAGAAGTACTAGTATTAGAAGTAGTAATATTAGTACTAGTAGTAGTAAAACTAAAGTATTATTAGAAGTAGTGATGGTAGAAGTAGTAGTAGTAGTATAATAGAAGTAGTAATAGTATTGATAGATTAATAAGTAGAAATCAATCAGGTTATATAAAAGGACGGTACATTGGTAACAATGCTAGACTTATTCTTGATATATTTGAATACTGTGAAAACACAAATACGGATGGAATTCTTTTATTTGCTGATTTTCAAAAAGCGTTTGACTCAATCGAGTGGAATTTTTTATTCAAAACATTGGAAAAATTCAACTTTGGGGAAAATTTCATCAAATGGATAAAAATTTTATATACAAATCCGCGATTCTCTATAAAAAATAATGGCTGGATTTCGAGAAAATGCAAAATGCAAAGAGGAATACGACAAGGATGTCCTGTTTCAGCTCTATCATTTTTATTTGCAATGGAAGTTTTAAATGAAAACATAAATAGTTCAATGCTAGTTAGAGGTTTTAAGCATGAAAAGATGGAAAACGAAATAAAATGCATACAACATGCAGATGATAGTACTTTTCCCTTAAAAGATAAAAACTCTCTGAAAAATGCCATTAAAATTATAGAAAAATTTGGAAATATATCAGGAACAAAACTTAATTTATCAAAAACGGAATGTATATTACTAGGAGAGCTAAAGAACATGTTTAAAGATAAAGCATTTATAGGAAATGTTAAGATAAATCTAAATTCTGTAAAATGTCTTGGAATTCATATTGGGCATAACAAAACAGAGTGCAATGAAAGAAATTGGCTATGTAAACTGAAAGAGTTTGAAAAAATCTTAGACTCTTGGAGAAATAGAAAATTGACGATTTTCGGAAAATGTCAGATAATCAACTCCCTTATTGTTTCTAAACTCTTGTATATGGCAACTATACTTGAAAATCCAGATCAAGATATTACAAAGAAGGTAAATAAAATCATTTTCTCGTTTCTTTGGGGGAAAAAAGAAAGAATTAAACGTAAAACACTTATCAGAAAAGTATCAGAAGGGGGAATAGGTATAACTGACTTTGAAACCAAAGTCAAAGCTTTAAAAGCATCATGGGTTGCAAAACTTGTTGAGGAAAATAAGGATTCAAATCAATTATTAAGTGCTTGTTTAGGAAGATGTAATTTAGATATCCCATATTTGTTGAAGACAAATATCACTAGAATACAAGATCTCAATATCAAATATCTCCCACAATTTTATAAAGAGGTAATATGTGCATTTAATGAATGTAAACAAAATAATCAAGAAAAATTCCAGTTACAGAATATATGGTTTAACAAAAACATAACGTATAAAGGAAAACCACTTTTCCTTCCAAACTGGATCAAAAGTGGTTATAAATATGTGAATGATCTTTTTAATGAACACGGGTTTAAAACAATAAATGAAATCAAAGAAAATTTAATATATTCACAAAACTACCTTTGTGAGTATGTGATTGTAAAGAGTGCTCTTAAGAAACATATTTCCAAAAATATACCTACAGAATAAAGCCAAAGCTAGTAATTCACAGCTCTGCTTCAACTTTCACGGATATTTTGAACAAATTGAGGGTAAAAAATCTAAGTTCTTCTACAATATCTTGTTACCCAAAACATCAAAAAAACCTTTAATGGAAAGATTTTGGTCTGAGCTATTCTGTATTGACGACTCCCACTTATGGGAAAATATCTACCAGGAAAAAGTCAAAGAAATATTTGATAAGAATGTGTCAGAGTTTAACTTTAAATTGATGCATAACTTACTGTAACAAGTATGTAAGTAAATGGAAAAAAGACTTAGATAAAAACTGCTCGATTTGTAATGCAGAAGAAGACATAAAACACCTTATTTTTGATTGCCGTGTAGTACAACCTATTTGGAGTAAAATATCATTGTTTCTAAATATAGATGTGTCATGGAAAGTTATTGTCATTGGTTTTCCAGCATATTGTAACAAAAGTACCTTTATTTTAAACAATATATTGTCTTTCATTGCCTACAAAATTTATAAATATAAAATGAAATGCAGACTTTTAAATGAGAGTGTTACTAATGAGAGTTTAATGTGTTTCTTAAAAAATGCACTTACTCAGTTTTATTTCATAACAAAACTAGCAAAAAGTATTGCATGCGATTTCAAATCATCAAAGAGTTGTCTGAAAAATTGTGATATTTTTTATTTATCCAAAGGTGGCCTGGCCTTTGGAGTATACAATCGTAGGGGGGAATTGTGGACTCTATGCATTGCGGTTTGGCGCCCCCTACGATTATCTCTTGTGAAATTGCTATAGTTTTTTCTTTTCTTATAAATAACGCTAAATATCTATGAATATTCTTTTTAAAACAATGTACTATTATCTATACATGTAGTTGTGTATTTTTCCTATCGTTTTATCTTATTGAAGT